TATATACAGAATATAAATAAATGTTTTTAATAAGTAGATGTAATATCGGAGTATAAAATCTAGAAACTTTAAATGTTGATGTGATATCAGATTGCTTATGATCTATGATTTTCTGTGGTTGTGATACCAGAATTTGTATGTTAAATTGATATTAGAATATATACTCTTTCTTTTATACGTAGATGTGAAATTAAAATATATAATCTTTATGGTTTGTAATGAAAAATTAGAATAGTAAATCTATATAATCTTTTCATTTGCAGATGTGAAATCAGAATACATAATGTATATAATTTTATCTGTAGTTGTGATGTGAAAACATGACCTGTTTTTAATTTGTTGCATGATTGAGCAATGACAGCTCTGACAGTAAGTCTAAAAAAAAACAAAAAACAGTTGAGCAATAGATCTGTTTAAAAAGCAGTGTAGAATAAACCCAGGTCATGTGGTAATGTTTGACAATTTATTATTCAATATGTTATATGAATCTGTAATGCTTGAACATTAATTTTATTCTCTTCTAGAGATAAGTTGGAGGTGAGAGTTGCGGGCCGAGTGTGTTGACACAGTTGGAGCTGCTTCACACTGCTGACAGGGCCTTCCGCCATCCCCTCACCCGTCATCTGCCTAGCGAAGAGTGATGACCTCACAGCAGCATGGGAATGCCAACCCTGCCCTCCTCTCGCCACAGAACTCTTCATCAAGTCAGGGCAGGCAACACATTTCTCGTTCCCCGATAGACTCGTATTCCCGCTCCGGGCTTTACTCTCCTCGGCGAGGCTGGGTTGCAGCGTCCTCATCCGCAACAACTCATGGTAACTCTCTTGCGCTCTCTCTAAGCCGATTGGCTCCGGCGTCCTGCAGTATTTCCTCCTTGTCTCGGAAACCTGCGTCCGGCCGGGTGGAGCCGTGGCCGGAGGAGGCTGTGGATGACGCATATGGGCTTTACTCTCTTCACCGCATGTTTGATATTGTGGGCGCGCAGCTGACGCACCGTGACGTACGTGTGCTGTCCTTCCTTTTTGTGGACGTTATTGACGAGTACGAGAGAGGAGGGATACGGAGCGGGCGGGATTTCCTGCTCGCCCTGGAGCGTCAGGGGCGATGTGACGAGACAAACTTCCGGCATGTTCTTCAGCTGCTCCGCATCATCACTCGACATGACCTGCTGCCGTACGTCACGTTGCGCAAGAGACAGACAGGTTTGTGATCTTGTCGATTTCACTTTTGAGAGATGATTATTATGTACCTGAAGATACAGTTTCATCACTTTGCAATATGTTTTGGCAAGGTGCACAAGTAACGTGTTGCAAATTATTTTCCAGTGTGCCCAGATCCAGTGGATAAATACCTGGAGGAGACGTCAGTCCGTTATGTTTCTCCCAGAGGAGCAGGAGAAGCCCAGCAGGGAACTCCTCACAGAAGAACAGGTGGGTGCTACATGGCTACATTGCTTTAGACCAGTGGCTCTCAAACCTGTCCTGGAGTACCCCCAGCCCTGCACATTTTGTATGTCTCCCTCATCTATCACACCTGATTCAACTCACCAGCTCATTAGTGGAGACTGCAAGACCTGAAGTGGGTGTGTCAGATATAGGTAGACATACAAAATGTGCAGTGCTCAGGGTATTCCAGGGAGAGGTTTGAGAACCACTGCTTTAGACTTCTCATTGGTGCCATAAGCATTTTTTTTTTACTGAAATACCACATTTGTCACTCTGTAAACTTTAGAAAGGTCTAATGACTTGATTAGCCAATCAGAACTTTTGATGCGCTTTACAGTACAGCACATATATGGCATTCAGGAAGCTTAGGTTTTGAAGTGGGCAGGGTTTCGGTTTAAAGAGGCATGTCTAATTCAGTGGCTAATGGTCCGATCAAGTTCTCCTGGAAAGTTCATATTTCTGAATAAGGAAGTTGTAATTACGAAATCAGGTGTGTTCATGTCACTTTGGTTTATCGCAATATGGCGATGTACCTTTTCTTGAAAAAAATCAGCAAAATCTTTTAACTAGACTGACCGGAGATGCCCTTTTTCACGGACACGTCCTGGCCAGGATTTCTATATTGGCTAAAATATCCAGGTTTTGGTTTCGTTTTCCTGTTTTTATTCTTGCTGAAGGTAAAGATCAAAAAGTAGTTTGACCAATAGCATGCAGGCATTGTACATAATCAACCAATCAAGAGTTTTTTTTCAAGCGGAAACAAGCGGTTTTCATTCAGTCACTCAGTATGTACATTTAATAATGTTAAAAAGGTTTAATATTTATGAATTAGATTTATAAACTTATCCATTTCGTTGTGAATGCAGTGCGCTTCCAGAGAGAGCCCGCCCACACAGGCTTTTGATTGGCTGTGATATATGATTGATTCTGTCACGTTGTGTTGTCGTGGCATGTCTAGTGTGGACAACCAAATTGCTTGTCGCTGGAATCTTGTTGCGTCGCATGTAGTTAGGACACGGTGTAAGTTTGGAAGATTTTCCAGAATAACAAATGGCTGGAATACACTACGCAATAGTGTTGGGTTCAAGTCCACCTAAGTTGAGTCCAAGTCGAGCCTGAGTCTTTAACCAATCGAGTCCGAGACAAGTCTGAGTCCAAAATGGGCAGAGTCGGACTCAAGTCCGAGTCCCAAACAGCCGAGTACGAGTCGAGTCGAGTCCGAGTCCAACGAAACTTATTATTTATTAGTATCTTAACATTGTTTTAACCTTTACAACTACAAAAACGCAATGTCCATTTAAATGTAACAAAAGCAAACCTCTATTGCATCTTGCCATTTTGATTTTTGTTTAAATATTAGTGTCCTGCTTTGCTTAGCAAACTTAAAGTCATGTAACAGAAGTTATGGCTGAATTGATTTATGTATTGTGACATATTTCAGAGTAAAACAGGTTTTAGAATGTGAAAAATTAAAGGGCGGAAGTTCACATTTATCGTTAAAGTAAATGTATAAATTCAAGGGTGGGGGTAAAGGAGTAGGTATCTTGGTGAATGGGACCTTAAGAGCAGAAAATGCACCTTTTATCTCAATAAAAGCTTTATATCATTTTTACGATTTTTAATGAAATATGAATTTTGAATAGTCAAAATTAGTTCGTGTCTGCTTATTCTATTCATCAGTGTTTGAACCATTAAAGAAGAAACTGCATTTTAATTTCTGGGTAAAAAAAAAAAAAACGAAAAATGAATGGTTTACACTGACCCCTTAGTAGGGCTGGACAATAATTCAATATCAATATGTATCGCGATATAATTTTTTTCAATAACGGTGATATGATTTTTAAACACATTTCCGATATTTCGATATACATTACCAGTGTTTCCCATACATTGATTAATTTTTTCTTGGATGAAAATGAGGCTGTGAGGGATAAACCTAGTTTGTACAATGGCAC